TTTGAATAGCTAACTTCGAAGTCATTCAAGAGGAAACTGATCTAGATTGAATATAGGTGTTGATGGGCAAGATGGCAGTCATGTGTGAAGATGTGGCAATCAACATATAATAGGTGTTTACCTGATTTTGAGCATGACCACTTAAACAAACCTTTGCCAAGCTCTTGAATGGCTTTCCAGATCTGCATTTGTTTTGGCAATAAATAAGCAAAGGCAACATCCATGTTCAGTGTCAGACCTGGCTACAGCTTGCCACAGAATATTTCTGTCATGGGAGTGAAGATGACTTTTCAAGTCAGTATATGATTTGGTATTAAATACACACATAAAGCCTGTTAATGTAGGCTGCTAATTAATTTCAGGCAATCTCACTCCTCCATTTTAGCTATGGCATTTCATATGCTTAAGAAGATCTGATCTAGACAATAAAACCTGACTACACACTGGACAGATTGGGCCTTAGAATAAGTTTGGGATCGGAAATGTTTCTTCTTTTTCTGATATTTTGATACGTTGTCAAAAAGACCCAACAAATTTAAATTCCATCATGAACACGCTGCAGTCACTCTGATCTGTTTGATACTAAATAACTGAAATCTACCAAATTTGATACTAAATAACTGAAATCTACCAAATTTGATACTAAATAACTGAAATCTACCAAATTTGATACTAAATAACTGAAATCTACCAAATTTGATACTAAATATCTGAAATCTACCAAATTTGATACTAAATAACTGAAATCTACCAAATTTGATACTAAATAACTGAAATCTACCAAATTTGATACGAAAATCTACCAAATTTGATACTAAATATCTGAAATCTACCAAATTTGATACTAAATAACTGAAATCTACCAAATTTGATACTAAATAACTGAAATCTACCAAATTTGATACTAAATAACTGAAATCTACCAAATTTAGTTCTAATAATGTTATGCTGCATGCATTCTTTATATTCTTTTGTTTTTGGCCTATTATATATCAGTTTGCGTATTCATGAGACTTAAAGAAAATGTGATCTCCACCAGGGTTTGAACCTGCTTCCCTTTCTAGGGGAAGCCACTGCTCCTTAGACTGCTTGACCACAGATAGCTAATGCACATGTGTATGTATCTAAATAAAAATGCTAAAAAACTAGAGATAGTCTGTATCTCTTCTTTATCACCTTACTATGTGGCATGGATTCTACAGAGTGCTAGATATGTACATCCGAGTATATTACAGAGTTGTCCATATCAGAGTTTTGTTTGTTGGGAATAGCTGCAACCTGTCCTATATCTGCTCAATGGGGTTTAAATCTGGTGAGCACAGAGGCAAATAAAATACCCAGAAATCAACTATTTCTAGAAGCAGTTTTTCATTACCTGCCCATCACGTAGAACTTTATCTTGCTGGAAAAAGAAAAACATCACAATAGGGGAACACGGAAAGCTTAAAAGAAAGCAAATGGTCTAGAGTATTTATGTATATCACAGTCAACAAGATACTCCAGTTTTCCCTTTTTACCATTAGTCAGCCAATGTCAACTTCCAAAACACCCTGATTTCAAACTTGATACATCAGCTTCTGAGGTATTTCCATGCAGGTAAACATTTATGAACTAGTATAGGATATGAACTGTTCATTGTTTTTTTTTCCAAGGCAATAAAGCCACTAAGATGCAAGAGCTTACTGAGTGTTAGAGAGCATGTGAAAAAAATAAGAAAAATACTATGAAGGTGAGAGAATAAAAGAACAAAAATTAAGAAGACAGAAGATAACAATTGACATTAAATTAAAGCTTTTGAAGATCACAGTTGATTGGGGAAGCTAGAAAGCAAGAAACAGTTCCATGAGCAAGTGTGATAAGAAAAAACTATTTGAATAGAACTTATGGTTACATTTAGCCATTTCAACTGTACAATGATAAGAACTTGCTGCCAATCTTGTACTTAAAGTCAAGGTACCAAAGAGGAAGATTTTTCAGAACAGTTACCATGAAAGTATTTGTCAAAAAGGCTCAGGGAGGCTACATTATAGTGGTGAGAAAGTGACTGAATGTGAGATGCCAAGTCAGGAGCAATAACATTGCAGATTCCTTGGTTATCATTCTCATCAGTCAGCAGTGGTCCCATTCTTGTATCACTTGTGAGTGTCCATATTTTTATGTGTCATTAACATCCATCCAGAGTTCACAGGTTCCCAGTATAGCTGAGTTACTTTTTCCTGAATTATATTGCCCTTTTTTCTGGCCTCAGCAATCATTAGATTGTATTGAATTCAGACCACATTGCATGTGCCACAGCTTCCCTACCACTTTACCTATTATATCACATGGGTGCCATCAAGCTGTGTCGATTTCTGCAAGGTAGTAAGGGTGAAACCATTCAGTGTACTGTTTTCTCTAGTCTTTTGGCACTGTAATTTATTTTCAATACAACTATGCCCGCGTAATAAGCAATGTATAAATAGTCCGTAAACATAAAAAGAGAAAGAGTTTGACAATGGCCTTCAAGCATTCTGCTTCTTGGTTGCTTTCTGGCAGGGTTATTTATTACTCAGTCAGCAATAGGGCTTCTTAGCATCAAGTACACACTTGGCAGACACATCAACAGTGAGAGAGATGGGCAAAGGGGGAGGCTGAACAGATGCTATTTGGGCCACGTAAATCTTTAGATGTACAAAGGATGTCAATATCTTTTTATAGATGTGTGTGTATGTATGTATGTGTTTGTGCATACAATATGTAAACACACACACACACATATATCATTATATACCTATTATATATATATATATATATATATATATATATATAATATTATTATTATTATTATATACCTACATTACATACAATGCTGTGCAAAAATGAGTGAACCCCAAGATAATATTTAAAGAATTGTCTCTTTTTTCCAGATGATCAACAAATCTTGATTAAACTATATATTTATCAACAGTAACTCTCTCCTCTCTCTAAATATATGTTTGTGTGCATGCACATACATATGTATATATGATGTAAATATGTATTTATAGTCTAAATGTAAATGCCAAACATACCCAAGTAGTAGTTTTATAAATTATTTCATTTTATATATATATATATATATATATATATATATATTTATGTTCTGTTAATTTTTTTTTATGATGGTATTATGGATCTTACCCGTAATAATAATAATAATGGACTATTCCATACTTAATAAATACTGCGCCTCAGGAGTAGACAAGGAGTCAGTAGTTCAAGTCGAGTCAGAGGCAGTCCGAAATAGTCGTGTTCAGACAATTACTTCAAGACATTGGAATAGTGATACTGGTCGAGACTACATTGTTCTCTCTACTAAAACTGATTATTCATACTAACACTTCTACTTCTCTGTATATATTCCTGTTTGTAATATATCTGTGTTATTCCACGCCTCTGTTCGCGTTCTTCTTTATTGGTTCTACCTTGGACTATCACCGTGGTACAAGGAACCGGACCATAACAGATGGTGAAATGTTACTGTTTTGGTTTTGGACATATTGAATTTTACAAACCTGTCCATCTCTCATTCAGCCACCATGGTTTGGTCAGAGAAGATATCAGTTGCCAGGCTCTGGTCATCCAGATTTTTGAAAGTGCACCTATAATCTGTTTTATCATCTGAATTGATTATTGATTATGATGTCATTTTTGCTTTCTTATCATTGATTATGATATTTATTATTTATTAATGATTGGAGTATGTTCTTAGGCAGATAATTTATATTTGAGGGTATGTCAGAAAAGAAACAGGATCAAAGTCACAAAAAAAAATTTGTCAAATCCAAACTAGTTTTCCCCTTTTTATAATTATCCCCGCTCAAATCTGAGGCATTTTCTATCCTTCTTTAGAAACACCTCCTGGAAAGATTCCTCCACGATTTTCCACAGCTCCATCATGACCCTCTCTATGGCTTCTATGTCCACAAAATGGGTCCCCTTAATGACCATCCCACAAGCTGAAGCAACCTCCCTACTCACCCGACTTGGTACTGTGTGATTTTTTTTGTTTTCTTTTCTTCAAGCTCAAAGGTGTCATAAAGCGGACATGTTTTCCAGACATGGAAGCCATCAAGTGGGTTGTAATGATGGAGTTGTAGAGAATCCCAGGAGAATGCTTCCAGGAACGCATGCAGGCAAGGTGGAGAAGGACGAAAAAATGTGTTAGACTTGAGGGGGATAGATTTGAAGAGAAAAACTTGTAGTTTGGATTTGACATTAAATTTTTTTATAACTTTGTCCCTGTTTCTTTTCTGACACACCTCATAGAGCAGAAAGGGGATAGGACTGGAGAAGGAACCCTGAGGAGTGCCCACATTGATCTTGCTGGCTTGCAATGACATCAGTCAGTTATATACCATGCGTGATACATGCTTAGGCGATCATGTATCTTTCAATACATGATCGACAAGGCAGATTTTTTCCCGCAATATGTTGCCATTTCTTTCTGTGGTAGACCAGTTGCCATCTTTTATAGACAAGCGTATGGTTGCAAGAAAGAAATACGACAACAGCAGACAGGAGGCCAGGGAAGAGATCAGTCACAGCCGGTCTGAGCAGTCAGCAGCAGTAGCGCCATGCCAACCTGTGAGAACTACTATTAGAGATCAACCCAGATCGGCCGCCAGCTTATGAACTATACCACAAGGTAGCTGTCCCAAAACCACACGTTCTTATTGAAATAAATCACGTAAATCTATTTCTGCTGTTGTCGTATTTCTTTCTTGCAACCTTACGCTTGTCTATAACAAATCTAAGGCTATAGAACCCAGTCTGTCCTGCTATTTACCCATACCTGGAAGGAGAAGATGATGATTCATACCTTTCCCAAAGGTATTAGCACATAAGTGAATGTAATGGATTTGACTGGAATTCAAACTTAGCTTTCCGATTCCTCCATCCAAGCGACTATCCATTACTCCACACTGCTCATTAACAACAACCTTCAGAGAACTACCTGTTAGAAATAACTTTTATTTTCAATGGAGCTGTTCAGCTCCCTACACATCCAGTTGTGGTTAAGTATAGAAATATATACTAAATACTTTTATTTTTATCAAAGCTACGTGATAGAAAAGTTTTCAATTGACTGAAACTGATTTAACTTTTTTTCCCTGTTCTTGTTTAAATTTTATGTTTAAAGTGGATGTGAAAAAGTGAAAGTTATCAGCAAAGATTGATGGTGTTTACAGAAAGATATTTTAGACTGGGCATCTTTTGGTCTTCCCAAGGCATGCAAGAAACAAACAGGAAACAAGAAATTCTATAAATCAAGCCAAACGATCCATTCAGCTGAAGAACAATAAATCGAATTCAAAAGACTCTTCTTCCTCAAAGAGTGACACTGAAACCTTATATAAGGAATATCTAAATACGTGGATGTGTTTCATAGGCAGTCACACACTCTCTCTCTCTCTCTCTCTCTCTCTCTCTCTCTCTCTTTCTCTCTCTTTTCTCTCTCTCTCTCTTTCTCTCTCTCTCTCTCTCTCTCTCTTTCTCTCTCTCTCTCTCTCTCTCTCTCTCTAGTTTTGAGTCTGGTTCTCTTTCTCAGTCTTTTTCTTTGTTTCTTTTCTTTTACTGTCATTTCTTTTTTAATATCTCTCTTCATTTGTTTGTCATACTTTCTGTCGTTCAGTTCTTTCAATTTTTTCTTCATTTCTTTGTGTTTTACTATCTATTTTTTGTAATTTCACTTCCTTTTTCCATCTTGTTCTCTCCCTCTTTCTTCTCTCTGCATCATGTCATCTTAACAGACTTTCAGTAATTTTTTTTTTTTTTAATTCTGTCATACTCACTCTTTCTTTTTTCTTTCTTTTTCCTCCTTCTCTCTCTCTCTCTCTCATTTTACTTTTTCCTGTTTTTCCTTTTCTTTCTTTTTATCTTTGCTTTTTTTTATTTTTTATTTTTTTAATTTTATTTATTTTTTTTATTTGTATCTTTGCTAATTTCTGCCTATTTCTTTCTGCCTTTCTTTCAAAACCCGTTTTATTCCTTATTTTTTTTTATATATTTTTTTTATTTTTTTTTATTTTTTTTCATCCATAACTCTCTTTTCTTTGCTCTTTGTTTTATCAGTTTTTTTTTATTGCCTTCCATCTATATTTTCTGAAAACTGATTTATTTTTTACAGTTTATCAACCTTTTACAGGTCATTTAATACCAAAAATGTTTTTAAATTGTAATAATTTTTGGAGATAATAATAATTTACTGATACAAGTTCTACTTTTCAAACCATTCCCATAGGTATTTGTATGTGAATGAATATCACGAACCCGACTGGAATTAGAACTCATCTCACAAATTTTACTATTATCCATTACACCACCTATGCATCCAAAGTTAGAGCACTTGATATTCCCAAGCAGTTACCATTTTAAGTACTGATCAGACCTGATGTTGCTTAACTTCGGGGATCATATGAGAACTGGTATTTCAACATGGTATGGTTGTACACAAGTCCTCTGGAACAAGCGAAATAAACCGTCACTAATGCTATGAAAAGCTGGTCTTCATCCAAAGAAAGTGATGCCGTCCCAACATATGGCGAAATTGAAAAGGTGTTCACCATGATGCGCTCCTTCCAGAGAAGCAATTTATTTGAAGAAGGACTTCTACTAATTAGACCAAGTGAAAGCAACCAATAACGAAAAAATTGTCTGGAATTAATTAAGATACACTCTTAGTTTCTCAGCATGTGCTTCCTTCTATCACTCTCTTGGTTTTATTATATTTTTTTTTATCTTACCTGTTTTTTTTGCAGTCTCTCTTCATCTCTTTCTTTTTCTTACTCTCTCCTCACCTTCATGCTTCCTCTACCTCTAATACTTTTTCTTTATACTTGACTATCTTTTTTCTTATATTGATCAGTCTCTCCCATTTGTTTTTTTTTTTTACTTATTATAGCCTACTTTCAGCTATTTTCTTCCACTTGTATTTATAGAGAACTGTTTCATTCATATCTTTTTAATTTTCTATGGCTTCTACTTTAATTATCCTGCAGAAAGAAAAGCCCTGATAAAGCAGTAACAAAAACATCTGCTAAATTTTTTGATATTTTTAGGTGGTAGCAGAACAAATAAGACTATCAGTTTTGTAGTTGTTTTTATTATTTTCTCCATTTTGTTTTAATCTCAAGCACCATGTACTTCCAGTCATGGTAGATACATTCCAAAACTTCCATATTGTTTGTACATAGTACCAAATTTTACATATATTTGCTTTCCTTTTTTGGAATATCTATGACAAAGTGGAAAAAGTTTTGGCATAAGTCATTTCATCCCTTAGGACTTCATCATTTCCATGTTTACCTTATATACCAAGGATAATGTTTAATTTATAAATTAGGCACAAGAAGAGATTATCTACAATAGTTACTAATAAAATTGACCAATTTTGACAATATTCTGTTATAAAAGTTATATGACAGAGAAGATTCATTTTTACTGTAGATCTTATTAGGCACATTATGAGATTAACAACAATAACTAATAATAAAATTGAACAACTATAATAATATTCTGTCATAAAAGTTATGACAGAAGATTCATTTTTATTGTAGATTTTAATAGGCACACTAAAAGATCAACATAAACAACTAATACACGATTTACATTATTTGGACTATTGTCTTCATCTTTGTCACCATGTTTATCACAACATTTCAGCCGTTGTACGCTCCAGCCTTCTTCAGGTGGTTGGAATGTTGAACTGAACCCTTTATTTCGCTCACTGGGGTAGACTGTTCTAGTTCCACGTGCCATATCTAATGGATGTCACTTATCTCCTGTTAATTCCCCTCTGAAAGTTCTCCACTGCCTTAACCAGCACTTCTGTTTTTTCTAATAAAATTTTCCTGTTTCTTTATACTTCTTTAGCTTTTAAAGACATCTTTCACTATTCCAATGTGTCTTCAGATTTTGGTGCCACATTTTTCCATCATTTTTTTAAGAACACTTTCCATTTTTTATACTTGCTTGATTTTGACATCCCCAATTTGTAGCTTGCATCTCTCAGGTTGTCCCTCATGCTAATGACCATAAACTCTGGTTTCTTATAATTCATGATTAGTACTTTCTTCTTGATTTCTTTTGCTACACTGTTTAGGAGTTCCTACCGTTTTCTTTCTGTGTTTGCTATCAATACTATGTCATCTGCATTTGTTCTTAGAGCAACTATTTCCTTCAGGAACATTGTTGAGAATAACATGGACAGATCATGTGAGCAGCAAAGAAGCTTTAAAGAAAATAGTCACGGAAAGAACACTTATGATTCAAATCAGAAAGAGGCCGTTGAAATATACACATAATGAGGAAAAAGAAAAAAAAAAGAGAGAGAATTTGACACACAAGACATACTGAAGGAAAAGAGTGAGTAACCTACCCAAGGAGTTTCTGTAACTGGATGGCTGAACAGGGAGTAAGAAGGAGAGTATCAATAAAACAAAGAATTACAAAGGATTAAAAATTGTAGAGAGCTATGACTGCCTCATGTCATGAAGGGATACTGGCATGTAAAAGAAGAAAAAGAACAACTGATAGTTACTTAGGGATATAGAATATAAACATTTTAATAAGTAAAAAGCTTAATGTTTACATTAGATGTAGAAGAAGGCTCTCTTTAAAGATAACCTGACTGGACCCGATATTGCAATAGCCAAGGGGAAGCCCTCACTTTGGGCTACTTATTCCTCTTGTTTATTTAGAACTGCTGAATTGACCCCCACCCCACTCTACATCTGTATTTTATTTTCTTTCTTTCTTTCTATATTTTTAAAAAATTTTACCTTATGTTTTTACAGCAGTTAAAAAAAAAAACTTCTCTGAAGGAAGTGAAAGTCTCTAAAATAACAGGAAACAAACTTTGTGTTTCTACTGCCAGCACATTTTTTTTTTTTTTTTTTGCTGTCTTCCCTAGTTTCCTGGTGTCCAAATCTTGCATAAAGCCCTTCATTTCTTAAATAATCCCCCAATTTTCATTTACAGATTAAGGAAAAGAAATGGTTAAATTCTGAAGATAAGCATCTATCTATCTATTCATCTATCTATCTATCTATCTATCTCAGTTGGGTCCATATCTCATCTATCCATCTATCCATCCATCTATCTATCTATCTATCTCAGTTGGGTCCACATCATCCATCTATCTATCTATCAATCATCTATCTATCTATCCTCAGTTGGGTCCATATCTATCCATCCTATCCATCCATCCATCTATCTATCTCAGTTGGGGTCCATATCCATCCATCCATCCATCTATCTATCTATCCCAGTTGGGTCCATATCTATCTATCTATCTATCTATCCATCTATCCATCTCAGTTGGGTCCATATCCATCTATCCATCTATCCATTCATCCTCAGTTGGGTCCATATCTATCTATCTATCTATCTATCTATCTATCTATCTATCTATCTATCTCAGTTGGGTCCATATCTATCTATCTATCTATCTATCTATCCATCTATCTATCTATCAGTTATCTATCCATCTATCTATCTATCTATCTCAGTTGGGTCCATATCTATCTATCTATCTATCTATCTATCTATCTATCTATCTATCTATCTCAGTTGGGTCCATATCTATCTATCTATCTATCTATCTATCTATCTATCTATCTATCTATCTATCTATCTATCTCAGTTGGGTCCATATCTATCTATCTATCTATCTATCTCAGTTGGGTCCATATCTATCTATCTATCTATCTATCTCAGTTTGTCCTGTTTATACCTATCTACCTATCTATCTATCTCATTCTGTTCATACCTATCTACCCACCCTACCTGTTCATACCTAAGATCAAAATTCAGCCAATAATTTCATCAGGTTACACACTTTTGATGTACCATTCTATAAACCATACTACTTATAATATAAACATTTTTAAATATTGCTGTAACTTCATACATCTTTTACATATAGAGAATAGTGTGTCTTTGCTTGTGTCATGTTTGTGGAGAAAAACTTAAAAAATTTATATAAATTAAGTTTTGATAAAAATGAATAAATTAGACAGCTGCAAATTATAGCAGACATGTTATTATAAAATATTCATGTGTATTCTTTTGTTCACTACTACATCTGCCTGCCAGGTATAAAGTCAACATGTCAGGTAGCCATTTCTTGTAGTAGTTAGAGTAAAAGTCTGTTTTAAAGGAGTAAGCAGAGTCAATATGAAATCTTCCTTTGTCTATTTCCTCTCATAAAAACAGGACTAAAAAAAAAAGAAAACCTTTTTTGTAAACACCTCAGCAATTTCTGGAGTATAGAGATTTTAAATTTTTGCCTTTTTTCTTCTTTTCCTATGTGGATAAGTTGGGTATTTTTACAAGGCAAAAATTTCATACCCTCAACTTTCCGCAGCCTAATCAGAGGGTTAAATCTTTCTGTATATAAGGTTGAATTTAAAGTAAAATCTAGGATCTTGAATGATAATTCTCAAGATAGCCAACCCCTCTACCCTTGAAAGATTGGTGCAACACAATCTTCATGCATGTCTCCTCAAGCTATACTTTTTTTGTAAATTATGTCTATGATAGGTAATTGAATGACAAAATGAAAAAAAATTTATATAACACATCTCATCCTTTAAAAATACTTCTTCAGGCTAAAATAAAGTTCTTATTGATAGAACTGTATACATGCAGGCAGAGGCAATGAAAATATAAACAAAACCATTGGTTATAAATTGTACATGGAGAGGAATGCTGAAAATGTATGGACATTAAAGTTTAAATTTTAAATTTCTGGCATCCATTGTAGCTAGTCTGATGAAGTTCTTTTTGAAGGACAAACACATTACATAGTTTTTTTCTATTTTGGTAGAACATATATTAATGACAATTGGAAAAAACATTCATGAAAGTATAATATTTCGAAAAAATATCTGATAATGCATTTCACCCATTTTGGGTTTCATCAGATCGAAGACGTAAAAGTGAATTGTTTGTGTATGTCTTTGTGTGTTTATGTAAAATAATGAGATCGCATATTTTTTCAGAGCTAATGTTGCTTATGACTAAAAACAAAAGAAAATGAGTAACTTTTTTAAAGTCATTTAATATATATTATTAATATATATGAAAATATGAAAAATATATGATCTCATTATTTTAAATAAACTCACAAATACATACACACTCAATTCACTTTTTCATACTTTGATTTGATGAAGCCCAAAATAGGCGAAATACATTATCAGATATATTTTTGAAACATACTTTCATGAATATTTTTTTTCCAATAGTCATTAATGTATAACTCTGTCAGGATCATTTTTTTTATATATATATATATATATATATATATATATATATATAGTTTTAAGTTATGCTGTATTTATAGGTAAAAGTGATCAATATCAGAGAGAGAATGTATGTCAACATTAAAATATAAAAGTTGACACTGAGGCCAACACCAAGCAGTGACAGTCAGTTTCTTGTTCAAATGCAATCTTTAGGCCATATATATTTTCAAGGTTTGCTATGTTTATGTGTAAAAGTGCTCCATACCAGGAACAGAGCATGTGTAAATATAAAAGTGGCCACTGATGGGAACACTCTGTTTCATGCTTGAATGCAATGTTCAGCATATATATATATATATACATACATACATTGATAATATTAGTGGTAAATATACACATACATATGCAATCATATATCTAAAATATATATATATATATATATATATACACACATAAAAGTACATATATATTTGTATAAAAAATAATTCCAAGAGGATAGAATATGAATGTACAGTCAAAAGTACTTGTGTATTTAAGAAAGACCTAATACAGCTTATAATTTTAAAAAACAAGGATCATAAAATTCAAGTGATCGGTACGTTAAAACATCTTTAAAATTTTGTTAGCAAAGGGATTTCGTCATTAACTTTACTAATTTACTTTTTGTATGAATGATTCATTCTAATATATATATATATATATATATATATATATATATATATCAAGTATGAGGTGCAGTTCAATTTACCTTACATTACGGGGTTAGTGTACTTTATTAAAATTGTTTGTGAAGATGTATTCTCACCATTTAAATCATTAACTTCTATATCTGTTTTTTGTATGAATGATTCATGTAATATATATGTGTGTGTATGTGCTTTATAATAAGTTATGCATATGGATAGATAGAATTTAATAATTAAACAAGAAAGCATTTCAAATTAAATCTTTAGAAGAGAATAGAATATTATTTTGTACCCTTTTTCTCCCTGGGGTAAAAGAAAAAAAATGGGACTATTACCCTTTCCAGTACCTCATCATTGACAGCCATTTTAACTCACTCACAATGCACTGCTACCTTAACCTTGAACCATATAAAAAATTGTCCTACTAACATATCATTCCAGAACAACAGCCTGGCATCAGCATGTTCGCCTACCAAATAACATTCTTTGACTATTCAACAACACAACATCCATTTTAAGCTGTTCAAGCTAATTATCACACCTTACTTTGCAAAATAAAAGTTGAGTCGCATGCTCCAGCTGGCAAGGACCTGCCCTTAGTTCAAGCCAGATCTGACCAATTCAGGAACCAGTCATATCTAGTTTCATCTAAAGGCAGCTCTATATATCCTAGACTAGTTGTTTTTTTTGTTTTTTATTTATTATCATAATGTATGTGTCTATTGGTTTGTTTACTTATATGATTCCTCTTTTAATCTCTATTCACAGCCAAACTTGATATTTTTGGCACATCGTTTGTCAAGATAGGAATGAAGATAAAATTATGTAAGATATCCACTCAGTTTTTAGAAAAAAAAACCAAGAGAACTTGTTGAGCTGAAGAGATAACTTGTCAAAACTTTTAAATTGGCAAGACACAATAATTATCAATTTTTGACAAGCATTTTTTCATCAATTTTCTACAATAGGCACTGCGATCAGAAATAAATGTTTTCAACATTTCTTTTCATATTACCATAAATTAGACACTTCAGATCATGAATATTTAAAAAAAAATATATAATTTTTATAAAAGTTAATAAAAGTTTAGTACTAACAGTCTTAAGTTGTCTGAATTACTTAGATAAACCTTTTATTGAATGATTTGTTTTTTGCTTATTGGCTTATTAACCCTTTGTAGGTTATTTATAACCTGTCGATACATTTAGATTGTAAGAATCTTTTTGAAGATAACTGTAACTTACTGATTCAAATGCTACTAATTAACCCATGGTGGGGGGGACAAGAGGTGGATTCAAGTCTTTTCCAATGGTATTTGCATGTAAGTGAACCTAACCAACCCAACAGGAACTAGACTCTCTAATTAACAATTCCAATTTGTTAACCATTGCACCAACCACACATTCAAACTTAGAGTACCTGGTATGCCCAAGTGGTCACCCATCTAGGTACTGATCAGACTTAACATTGCTTAACTTCAGTAATCATACGAGAACTAGTGTTTCAACATGATATGGCTATAAGCATTGTCAGTGATTATCAGTTCTTGACTCGCATTTGTACTTTTTTAACTTAGTTTTATAGTCTTAGGTTGTCTGAATTTCTTAAATGAAGCAATTTCACAATTATTAGTATGTATTTCATCTTAATTTCATTTGTCTTCTATCATAATCCTTGGATGGGCCTAAAAAATGAGTCTAGATTTTTCTGCATAGCTTACTAACAACCAAAAAATGCAGCTCTGAGAATTGCAATAAAAAAAACCCACTTGAAATTAAGATGAAAAGAAATACTTAGAGAAGAATTCATAATTCACAATGTTTCATCTGTTATTAAAAAATTATTAATAATAATAATAATAATAATGATTTTGAACTGTGTTCCAAACTATTTGTTATTGTCGAACTCTCCGTCTTTGGCAGAGAGGAACCCAGATGAGCCTTTGCCGAAGGGCAAAGTTTCATCCGGGGAGGTAGACAGACCCTGAACTCATTTATACGGGTTCTAAGGGAATATTTTTGGTTGAGTCTACAGGCTCAGAGAACCCATGTTAAACTCGGCCTTGTGCCACATACTTCCCTCGTGGGGAGGGGGGGGCTGTTAAATATTAACAATAATAATGATAATAATAAAACTATCAAAATAAAAGGAAATCTAAAAAATGTGACACATGAGGACATCAGTAATTCCAGTAGTAGTAGGAACCCTTGGATTGATTGGAAAGGTTCCAATATTGAAGAGATTTCTGGTAGCCCATGCCTTAAAGAAATACAAAATATTGTACTCACAAGTATAGCTCACACATTACATTTTATGAATGGAGGCATAACGTTACCATCACTAGTAATCACTCCAAACATCATTGTAATCATCATTCGACTCATTTAACTTTTTCTGAATCTTCTGCACTGTCCAGACACCCAAATACTCTGAAATGTTCAGATTGGAGCTTCCAAGACAAATGCCAAGTAGTACAACATACCATTTCCAAATTTCTGGTGGAACAAGGCCCAAGAGTCACTCTAGGTAGTAGGTTACAGAATAAGAGACACTGTTTATGAGAATACGTGGAGATGATGACAGTTAACCTTAGATTTGAACAGGTTAAGATTTTAATGATCAAGGAAGCTTTCTCTTTTGAATTGGTTCCACAATGCAGCAGTTTGTCCATTAGAAGAAGCTGCTCAAGTGGAACTTATATCTCACCAATAGAATATGAATGGAATCAGATGATTCAGTACTATTTGCACAACATGGTGGGTCTTAGCCATGAAGGTTAGAATTGGTGGAACTAAGGAATGTAAATTGTATAATAATATACAACTGAGAAAATAGATGAAAATTACGAGAACTTTGTGTTTTATCAGGTTAGTAGAACTTCTGTCAAAAAGCATACAATAAATAATTAGAGATATAGTATTTCATATATTAAAAGTTCAAGTAACTTATCAAGTGACATATAAGTCACTTAAACTTTTCTAATTTATTAAATAAACATATATATATATATATATATATATATATATATATATATATATATATATATATCTTCCTTTATAAAATACAGATTGTGTGTGTGTAATACGTTTATATATTAGATCAGATTTATACATTATAATATATATATATATATATAAGCTTTATATCTGTACTAGCTTAAAAGCCACCCTATTGGGTAGTATTTAACCTAACTCTTGCTGAGTGTTCTTGATTGGGTCTTCATCACAATAGCTAGGGAGGAGTATATGCAATAGGCAACAATAAACTACAGAAGAACTCAAAATTGATTGCTGCATTTAAGTATTGCATTAATATTAAAGCTTACGTTTTAAAAGTTCAATAATAATTATTCTGCCGTCACTTAATTTAAAGACAATTTGATGTACATAGGTCCTTACTTTCCAGGCAAACAGTTATTTTTATTTCATGGATAACTTTCACTGGATTTTGCAATTAATTTTGATTATTCCGAAAGTTATTTCCAAGTTATAAAAATTGTTATCATAAAAAAAATAAGTAATGGCAAAAAGTTGCATAAAAACATTGCTGAAAACAATGAAAACAGTAATGAAAAGTTGGGAATCCAAAATTTCAGGATTTCATGTCTGGATTAGGCCTGGAATGTTTTTAATTTGCTCACAGTGTTGGCCTGTGTTGGCCTGATTCCAAAATGGTATATGTTGGGATACACCTTCTAGGAGTAAAGTTGAAAAAGTGTGATACACTGATATACTGACATTCGCATTTATTATATAGATTATAAATTAATATAGCTATATTATTATATTATATTATATTATAATATATATATATTATGATATATATATTATATTATATAATATATATATTATAATATATTATAATATTATATTATAATATATATATATAATATATTATAATATATTTATATAATATATATATTATATTATATAATATATATATTATATTATATAATATATATATTATAATATATATTATATAATATATATAATATATTATATATATATATATATTATATATATATATATATATTATAATATATAATATATATATTATATAATATTATAATATATATATTATATAATATATATATTATATATATATTATAATATATATTATATAATATATATATATATTATATTATATTATATAATATATATATATTATAATATATATATTATAATATATATATATATTATAATATATTATATTATATAATATATATATATTATAATATATTATATTATATATAATATATATATATTATAATATATTATATTATATAATATATATATATATTATAATATATTATATTATATAATATATATATATATTATAATATATTATATTATATAATATATATATATATATTATATTATAATATATAATATATAATATATATATTATAATATATTATATTATATAATATATATATTATTAATGTAATTATGTTATTATATCATATTAATATATCTATATTATTAATTTTGACTGGTATTTATTTAATTTTAATTTCTTTTCCACAATTCGTATTCATAATAATATTATCTTAACTGTTTTTTTTTAATGAAGCATTGTCAACTAATATTAATTTTTGACAAGTATTTCTTTCATTTAATGTTTATTCATCAGGTATTGTATTTAAATACCTAGTAACCTTAGAGCAATAGATAACTGGATAATAAATTTGTTGGACACTGGATAAATATGCAAGTGTAATTTCAGACATCTTTGTCTTCAGGACCAAACAGTAAAAATAAACTCCTCACATTAAAAAAACAAAAAAAAAAAAAAGATCTGTTTTTAATTTTCTTAGGTCATCATCACAGACCTTGAAAAGCTTACACAGTGAAACCCAATCTCTACACAGAATTCTCATTTTTTTTTTTTTTTACTCTCTGTTCTTCAACCTTCCTCTGTTCTCTGTAACCAAAGTTGTTTACCTACCCACCCCCTCTATTTTATCTTTGCTTTGCAGGGACCCCCATTTTTGTGCTTCCATCTAAACTTTGTCCTATTGAAATTCAGGAGGCTTCTGCCAAGTGGGCTTTCACTACAGATTCACCCAATAAAAAGAAACATTCCATTGGATGTAGGAGGCCTGTACCAAATTACAGACAGTCTTCTCTGCTACCGATTACCCTCAATGGAAACTAAATTGTCCCTCAAAAATTCCAGGGAGTCTAGATCAAGTCTGAGCCAACATAGTGTTTTTATTTTTATTTTCTTTCTACATAAAAATACTAATATATGTTGTTAGTCTCTAATGAGTTTTCCTTTAAGTGGTAGTAAGGGACTTAATGATTCTAAACCAACTATATATATATATATATATATATATATATATATATATATATATATATAAGCAAATATATGGATATAGATCCAACAGTATGAAGAAAAATATACTGAAAAAACAAACAAAAAATCGTAATATGCAATTATGCTGTTTTAAGTTTTAATGTCAACGTCGGACATTTTGGTCCCTAATAGACCATCTTCAGGACATATTTAATTAACATAGATCATATACAATTCAACATGAAAAGATGATGGATTGGTATTTGGCACCTGTCCTTCGTCTTTTCATGTTGAATTTATATGGTCTATGAAAATTATGTTTTATGAATATGTCCTGAAAGATGGTCTATTAGACCGAAAACGTCCGATGTTGACATTAAACATTAAAACTATAATCGCATATTAGATTTTTGTTTGTTTTTGTTATTTTTTCTTTATATATATATATATATATATATATATAACCACAATTTAAACTTGTTACTGGCAAAGATTTGCTAAGAACGCATGATGAAAAAATGCTCCAAAATTATTCAAAGTTTTATCAGCAAAATCTTTGTTCAGAGGAAAAATCAAAGGATTTTATTTATTATTTAATTATATTTTTTAATTCTTTTTTCGAACATTCAAAATTTTGGATAAGAATTTTTATTTTTCTTGTGTCAACAGGTGACCATAAATTAGCATAAAAAATTAGATTGTCTTTTTTTTCAATGAAAAACCCATTAATTTGGAAATTCTTGCAAAAATTGGTTAATAGTTAGATTTTAATGAAACTTATTAACAAATTAATTAAGTTATTTTTTAAACATTTCTTTTTTTAAAAAATCTTGGTAAAATTACTTCTTTTCTTTTTTTTTTTTTTTTAAATCTGTTACTCCAACCTCAACTTATTTAATTTGATGAAATTTTGGAGGTACCTATATATACACTACAGTTCAAAAGTTTGACGTCACCCCTGGTTAATTTTTAAATTGTCCTAAAAAGTAGTTGTTTTGTACTTTAAATAAAAGTAAAAATGATTATACATAGTTAAAAAAAAAGTGAAACATGATATTTTTTTTTATTAGAAATTTTATTATGTGTTATACCTGACGTACCTATTCTATTATTAATAGACTCTCTCACACATAATAAGTAGTAGTAGTAGCAGTCGCCAGTTGGGCTCAGTGGTGTTGAGCGAGTCAGTCGATATCAGACATTGAAGTACCAACCTTCA